CGCACAGGATTCAAAACGCTGTCATTCTCTGCATGTACCTCTGGCACGTGTGCAGGCAGCTCCAGGGCCCACAGCTCATCTAAAGCTGTTTCCACATTTCTGCCTTGGGAAGGGATGTCGGAATTGTCCCTGTATGCCCTCTGCTGATCCAGCTCTTTAGGTACCTGCCCCTTCCCTTGACCATTTAAAGTGTTTGAAATTAGTACACTGGAGATTTTGGGATCAGTTCTCTGCTTCTTCTCAGTCTCTTTTGCCAAATCATTCTCTAGGCCTTGTGCCTCCGCATTAGCAGATCTACACAGAAGCCCCACACTGAAAGCTGGCACAGCCTGGAAAACATTTCTAGAAGAGTCAGGCTTTCTGCTCAGCCGAACCAAGCTTGCAGAGGTCATGTGCTCCCCACGAGTAGCAGAACCAGAAGAAACTCGTGGTGGGGGCACAGGGACTGTTTGTGGCAAACAGGGCATACGTGGAAGAGAGGCAGAATGCCCTGAAGCAGGCAGAACTACAGTGTTACTGCCTTCCTCACAGCAGAGGACTGCTGAGGGGGCAGATGTTGGCACTGCTGAGTCCCCACCAGGACTTGCAGAAGGGTGTTTGGAATGGGATAGCACTCTTAAGCTGTGAGGAGTGTTGCTGGAGTCTGCGTTTGCTGAACTGGGAACCGATTCTAGGGAGGGTTCAGAAACCAGAGACATAGTGGAACTAGTCTGCAAAAAGGAGACAGAAGGAATAAAGAGAGAAAAAGATAAAGACAGAGGTAAGGAGAAGGGAAAAAAAGCAAAGAATTAAGCATTATAAAAATCATCACCTCCAAATCAGAGAGCCATGTTGATCCATAGCCTTACTTCCAAGAGTAAGGAACGAACATGAGGTATCAAAGAGCAGAACTGGTACGACATTGTGCTAATCTTCACATGAAATTACGGGAGGTGAAGTTCTACATCCCTCGAGATCTTTTTCCTATGTCCTCCTTCCAAGTGATAGCTCATGCCTTCACCTGCAGCTGCAACGGGGGCACGCAGCGGCCACTGGGAAGCCAGCTACAAAGCCAGGAATGTCTAGACTGCGAGTAAAGGTCACGTTAACTTACTCAGAGTCAGACATGTAAATTTGACACTTCAAAGCTGAAAAAAAGCAATCAATGAATAGAACAAAGCACGGCATTTTCTTCTTGATACACTAATAAAATGCTCCAGTTGGCTGAGTGCATGGCAATGAAAACAAAGCTTCAGGGCATTCACAGCAAGAACAGATGACATGGGCTTTGCTCTATTCACATCACTAATCTCACCTTGGACGTCACACACACTGAATCCGTATGAGTCTGTCAGTCATTCCATGCCCTTGTAAGCATTGCTTAGGTGGCCAGATTAGCCTCTTCCCTTTAGGCCAAAGACTCCACATTTACATTGTAATCAAATCAGTACGAATATTGATTCAAAATACACTCTAACAAGAGCAACTGATACAGAGTTTTTGGTTCCCCTTGACTTACAGGGCCTTCTTTTGCTCATTTTCAGTGGTTCCTGGCCAAACTCTAGGAGACAAACTGGCATTACTCCTTTTTCTTAAAAAAGGAAAATCAGAACGGTGGCTTGGACACGTTCACACAGCAGGTCAATCAGTTTTAAAAATGCATCCACCAAGGATTTTCCCAGAGCTGTCAAGACCTGCTCTGATTCTTAGTTGCCTTTTCCAAAGTAGCCTCGAGAAGTCAGATGCTTAAGCTCTAAGGTAGCGGGGCACATAACTTCCTATGCCTGTGTATGGTATTTTAGCCTCTACTTACCTCTCCAAGACACTTAGCATGAATAAACGGATAAAAGTAACCAGAACACGCACAAAATCTGCCAGTAGATAGAAGACACATATATCTTTAGCTGACCTACGCTGCCACCACCCCAAGGGGTCAGGAGCTGGCGCACACACACATTTGTCACAACAGCAGTGCTACAGGGAGACCATGCTCAGAAAGGAAAGAGCAACAGGGACCACGATTCATCAGATTGCTCCTCCCCTCGAGCAGCACAGCAAGACTGACAGTCACAGCAGAGACAAAAAGGACTCGTAAGTACATTCAGTAGAACTCAGGAATTTCCCAATATAGCCCTACCCCTGTATTTTGCCTAAGCTGGATGCACCTGTAAAAGGAACCTGGTTTTATGCTGTGGTTCACACTTAGCTTCCAGACATCCTACAATGCAGTCAGTCGGTTTTCAAGGCAACACTACTATTTTGCTAAAAATCAAGTATTTCCAGAATATTAAAAGCATACTAGCTCCAAAATAAGTGCAATGGTTAAACACTCAGCAGTAACAGAACGGCACTAATACAAGCATCTAGCTGTGCAGTAAGTAGGCATCACGTTACACAGAAATGGCAGAGGTTGAAAACACAAATGCATTAAGTAATCTCAGTGCCCACTGACTGATCAGCTAGATAATGAAAATCAAATGGATTCTGCAAGCAAAAAGAATGAGCAACTCATTAAAGCGAGCAAAAGATGATAAAAGGGTAATGTATCAGTCTGTAACAGCACCTTTTACTCTGGGGTATGAGGGAAATTAAATATCAGGGCCTATACTCCTCCCATCCCCACCTACTGCAAGTTGTACCAACTACCAACTCCAACTAGTTACACCTCATACTTAGTTGTTCTGTCCCATTTCTTGCAACCACACACAGGGCTGGTACTCAAACAATAGCCTTTCATCTTTCACCTTTGCAAAGACTCCACTTCTCTCCCATCCTGCCACTGGTACAGACTAGAAATCCATTTTTACAGCCAAGTTAACACCACTAGTTGGCACAAATAGAGGAGGTAAAACCAAAGAAGGATTGAAGGGAAAATGAAGCAACTTGGAGGACAGGGAAAAGGAAAGTAACTGTTAGAAACAGCCAATGACAGTATTAACAAAAGGAAAATGATCACAGAAACCATGTTCTTTGTCCTTCAGGAAGAGCATTTAGACACAGATGAGTTCAATGACTCGCAAAAATACTAACGCTGTGTTTATAAAGTGCAAATCTTAAAGTCTTGCTGCATTTCAGTTTGCTCTCAGACCTCAACCAGAAAGTAAGCCAGGAAGGCGGGCAGTATCACACAAAGCAGCTCATCTCTGTCATGCAGGTTTTACTGGAGTTGTGTGAAGACTCTTTAGTCTTTTCTCAAGACTGCAAAGCATTTGAACACTCACACTTAGAAATGTCCCTTCCTTGTATCTTGCAAGGAAAACCTGTGCTGGGCAAGGTTATTCTCAGTTGCCAAGAGCTCACCCAGGAGCAAAGGCTGCAACCACACCCCGAGCTTGTTTTCTGAGCCCTGATAAAAGCAGCAGGGGCACAAGGCCATAGTGCCCAAGCTTCCACAGCACACGGAAGGAGCCAGGCACGGTACGCCAGCAGCGCAGGTGGGAACGCTTCTCCAGCTTCACAACAGCGCTGGTTTTCACCCAGACTGAACAGACACTTATGGATATCCTGCACTCTACCCTAGGACCTACTATGGAGAAAAAAACGCAACACTAAGGTGTCAATATTTGCAGTTGACTAAATAAACACTACAGTAAGTCTAGAGAAAACAGTAACTCCTAAACTCTCACAAAATTAAGTACATGTGCCAGAAATGGCAGGCTGAATTCAATCCCAGCAAGGCAAGCGAAACCCCGCAGAGCGTGCACGCTGACGGCTGGGTTCCGAACTCACGCACTTGGTCAAAACTCCGGTACTGTAATGACCTCCACGAAACCCACAGCACAGATCAGAAGTGCTCACATGAATGGTGGCAGGGAGAGAACAGCGTGACAAAGCTGTCATGGAATGTCCTGTCTACCTCTCCTCACAAAACAGTCCTCAGCTCTGGCTGCCCCACCTGAAGTCATGGTAGGAGGAGACAGGAGGTCAGCAGAGACAAGAAACATCAAGTATCAGCAGAATCTTCCATATGAGGAAAAAACAGAGTGTTAGGGACTTTCTTAGGATTAGAAAGCAGACTTGCATGTGTACATGAGAAAAGCAAACCCAACAATGACAACATGGGAGAATAGATATTTGCTTTCTCAACCTCTCTCGGAACAAATTCAGGTGAATAATTCAGCAAGGCTATAAGCAAAGCATCTGAAACTAGAAAGAAAGAAGAGAAAATATTTTTCGTTTTGCTATAATTACGGGTAAATGAAGACTCATGAAAACAAGCTCCACAGTTAATCATCTAGTGCAAGAACAATAACATACCTATATAAAGAACAAGTTATCCAAATACATATGCCAAGTGCTTCAAACATCAAGATGACCATGGGCAAGTTACTCCCAAGCTTATCCTATTATGGGATTTTTATGTGCCACTTGTGACTGAAGTAGCAGTTCTTTTCCAATACAATACTCTGATTTCCAGACAAGATTCTAAATAGTATTTGCCATCCTCTGCCCCCACAAGAAGCTCAGACTTTAATCCCATTTTAAGGTGAATAAGAGATAGGCTTTAAGATGGAAACCTTTGAAATCTCCAACTGCCTGACGGAAAGGCTTCAGTGCTTACAGCACATGCCTGGAAGATCCTCCTCAGGGAAAGCACATCAGGGTAAAAATACACTCCAAAGAGGAGGGTCATCCCACAGAAGAGCCTGGTCTCTGTCAGTAAGCAGACTAGTGTCCCACGCTCCCCTACTTCTTGTTAAGTTGTAGCACAGCATAATTCACCCTGTACTGAGCAGGAACTAAGTTCATTATCTTTGGCAAACAGACAAACTGCAGAACCAAAGGAAAAACAGACCCCAGAACTGCCTTACCCTGCCAGCAACGAGAATTTATAGCAGTTAAGAACACCTACAGCAGCACGCAGAAAGCACAAATGCCACCACAGGAAGTTTCTCAGAGCAAGTTTGAGAGGTAAAGAGGGCATTCTAGAGACAAAACAACATCAGCAGATGTGGCTAACGGGCAGGAGAGTCTGGAGGTGGGGAGGGACAAGATGAACTCAAGTTGTCACGATAGGATACCTTAAAGTCAGAGAGAGATGCCATCAGCTCATCCAGTTCTCGTGTAGCTGAAGAAGCAGATATACGGGTCTGCTGCTGACTGGCAGTGACCCGCTGGGGGCTGCTCACCTCACCTTGGCTCACAGTGATTGCAGGGCTGACAAAGAGGAAAAAAAGAAAAGAGGAAAAAAAAAAAAAAAAAGTGTGTTTAAGCCTGGGAGAGCACCCCTAGACTGAAAGTCCTACTGTTCCCCCAAGCACTGTGCACCCTGGCCAGCCCTCCCCCAGACCCAGCTTCCACCACGCACGCAGACCCTGTCTCTCTGCCAAGTCTAACACGAGTGTCTGCTCACACACACACCATCCATTAAGAAATGGAGGACGACCAAACGTTCATTTTGTCAGACAGTGAGGATTTGTGATCAGTTACAAATCTGAGTTTGAACAATCCACCTCTCGTAACATGACTTACGTATTTTTTCATCCAGGAGCAGATAAAAGCGCACCAGCATCTTCGTGTGCCTGCTGGATTTCTGACCCTTTAGACAAAGCCCATCGTCTGTCTGTCACTCTCCTGCCCCATCTGCCCCTACGCTGCAGTCACTATCCCCACAAGAGCCTGTCCCACCCCACCCAAGCCAGCGACCACCAAAACACTACTCACACTGGACTTGGCACAGAGCTCTCCAGCTCATCCAGCAGGCTCTCCACACTGGGACGCACATCTTCGATCCCGCGTGCACCATTTCGCTTTGGCTTCTCTTTTGTAGGGGGTGCAGCCTTCCCTCCCACAGAGCTGCTGCTCTCTGGGACAACATAGTGAGGTCCAGTCATGCTGGGCAGTGAGGGGCTTCTGCTGGCTTCATCTTAAGAAAGGGGAGCAGAAAAGAGCCATTTAGACCCTTAGGTCCATATATACATGCTCATCACAGGCAAAAGCAACAAATTGCCCAGAAACCTTGCGGAACATCCATCTTTGAGCATATTCAGAACTCAAGAGCGCAAGCGCCTGAGCAACCTAATCTAATTTTGGAACTTTAGTTAGGGCCAATTTTGAAGTCGGCCTTGCTTTGAGAAAGGCACCACAGACCTCAAGAGATCCCACCCATACTAAATTATCTTTGATCAGGGGGCTGGAGGGGTCTGCCGCACTAAGGATGGTGGAAGGAAAAAGCAGGCTACTGCTTCGAGAATCAAACCGTCCACTCATACCAAATGTCTTGCTATTCCTTACCTGCTGGGAAGCCACTGGCGGGATTATGTTGAACAGCATTCAGTTCCAGAAGAAGTCTGTCCAGTTCTGAGAGGTTGCTGCCCAGGGAGGAGCTGGTCATTGTGGGAGATGGTTCTGCAGATTTCTGCTTGTTCGGAAAACTAAAGACAAAATGGAAGCGTGAAACTTCTGTGTCAAGATACAGCAAAAGGATGGAGGGAAACGTGCATTACAAAGAACGTACTGCATTCTTTTCAAGCTGATGCTTTTAGCTCTTGGGAAAAGAAGATGTGTGCTTTGTGAAATGACTACAACATAGCCACTGCTTAACCACATCTTCAGTTGTCAGTTACAAAGAAATGGCATTGATGGACAGGGCCTCAAAGTTTAGAACTGTGTGCTGCACTCTTAGCAAAGAGTTAACTGTCTGCAGATCCAAGACACACAGAACAGCAGCAGAACCATTAGCTCAATACAGGAAAATGACTTGTTTCTGCTGACATCACACCACGCAGCAAAAACCTGCCCTTGAAGCAAGGCAACAGAGGTCTAGCACAGACTGGAGAAAGAGGCAAAGTCCAAACCTCAAGCTATCAAGAAAAAGTCAAAAGCAGCAGGTTATGTGGTAGCCTCTTGCAGCATTCAAGGTCCCTCTTCAAGGCCTCAAACCTTTAATTTGGGGAACCAATCAATTCATAAGAAAGTAATTTGAAACTATTTTCTAATGTGTTAAATACACAAGCCTTGAAAGAAGTTCACCTGTGCACAAGTGTGTATAAAACACTGGCTGTAATTATTGCTTATCCTGTATGGGTGATCCCATTTACCGCACACAACTGCAAACTGTTTCAAAGCAAAACTTAGCACCAACACCGTGATCTTTATAGTAATTACACGGCAGTAGCAGTCTTCCCATCATCAACGTCAGGGAAATTATTTCCTCCTAGTTTCACAAATGAAGAAATAACTTCTAATGCTCTAGAGGTTCTTATTTTATCAAAAAGGTACTTTGCAAATCCAAAATGGGAACTTCTGTCTTGTGCACACTACCACATTATGCTCAGAAAGTTAATACGTAACAGGCTTTAGGACTCTGACACCTATAAAACCAGTGACAACCATGAAATTCCATAAGGGCAGTTACTATCTCTGCAGACTGAAAAAAAAAAAAACAAGCCACAAATGCAATCTGAGGAGGGAAGACTTCATCCCGACCCAAGCTACAATTCACTCCAGAACCAAGCCATGCCAGACCCTTGGAGGACTTAACGGCTGTAATTACCTCTATTTTGTACTAATTGCACGGAGCCATCTGAAAAAAATGCAATTACTGCCTCCATTGGGCCATCTCTGGATATGCCTGCCTCTACTCTGAATTAGGTCTAGTTGAAAGCAACTTCAGGCTCAGCAGAAAGAGCTGGGCACTGTTAGAATGCGAGATCAGAGAAACACCAGTCTCCACACTGTAAAAAGGTGCCCAGGACAGAGTGCACTGTAGAGGGCCATCAGAGACAAAGTTCTGACATCCTCTTCCTCACTCAGCCCCCTGTCAGCAGACAGGTCTGTCCTACCCTACAGGCTACTCCTCCAACCTCCCAGCGTAAGAGCAGCTGCCTTTGCAATTATAAACCAGGTATCTACCATCTACTGAGATGAAAGCTTTAAGAAGTTCAAATTTACTTGAAAATTCAAGTCACTGCACATCCTGCTAGGCCACAGGTAACTGAGTTCCCTGAGATAACTGACCCAAAGGTCACCCACCTAAAGAACTTTTCTGCTGCTTAACAGGGGGATGGATTTGTCACTTGTCTCTGGATCATATCCTTCACAACACAATCCAGATCCTGTTCCGTCTGACGGATCCTTAACCTCTTCTGCAGCTGAGCAAACCAAAGGGCCAGACCAGTGTTTGAAGTGAGTATGAAAGCTACAGCGGCCTCTTACAAAAGAGGTAATCAAAACCGACACAAGGCAGCATAACATTCACAGGGAGCGATGTTTGTTTCCACTTATAGAAGGCAGCTTGAGCCACAGCAAGCTCAAGTTGTGAGTCAGGCGTATCTCTAACAGGGACAAGATACCTGTAGACGTGTTCCTCTTCGCTGGCACGTGGAGAAGGAGAGCTGAGCCCGTCTCTAGGAACAGAGGCACTGGAGCTTTTGGCACTAGAGCTGTATATAGGTGACTGGGACTGAGGCTGTGGAAATGAAATTTGCATTTGAAAGAGAATACAAAGCGAGTATGTACACTACCGCATTGCAGCCCCACACTTGGATAGGGCAGAACAAAGCCCAGCAAAAGAAAGAAAAAAAAAAATCTGCTATATAGCCAAGCCAGCCTCTATCAGATGAGCTACACCAGAACAACTGTTCTCCACTTGCTTCAGATTTGCCTATGAGTCGCAGATCTGTGCTGGAAACCCCCAGCCTGCTTTCCACAGGCTACAAGACAGATGACTAACACTAATCTCATCACACTACCATTTTGTCGGAACAATGACTATGAATTTCGATTGCTTTTTGCCATTTGCTCCAACCAGTTAGTTCTATTAAAAACTCGCACCTCACCCCATTTCCCCACGCTGTTCATAGCCAAACTTACCCTCACTTCTTGCTATTCCCTCCCCTCATCTACTTCCTTGAGAGGTATCACACCAACAAAACAAGCACGCACCCTCCCCATCCGCACACATTCACTCACTTGCTGGTGGACGTATCTGGACACGTTGGGTTGCCACTGGTCTAAGGGGTCAATCACAGTGCCATTCAGGGCCTCATTGGAAGGTGGCGGGGGCACTGGCGGTGGCACAGCAATCTCCTGGTACGTGTGGTTTCCAGTTGGATAGGAGTAAGGCGTTTCCTCTGTTAGAAACACTGGTCGTTTGGAAATATGTGAGGTGGTGGATTCCAGGTCTGCCAGTAAGGCATCTGCAGGAAAGGAAAAAAACAAAAAAAAACAAAACAACAAAAAATGGTTAAACTATACTTTTTCATGTCATTCAGGATATCTGTATCAGGGGGTCTTTGGGCGGACTTTTCACGTAGGGTGATGTCCCAAATGCCCTGAAAAACATTACTGCAGCCCAGGACTGTATGAGTTAATCAAACTTCTAGTACAAAGAAAACACCAAGAAGTAACAAAGCAGCCAGAAAAAGCATGTCAGTCTCAGATTTTTGTCTTAACTGGAAAACCACCCTACAACAGGGACCCGTAGTCTCACTGCACCCTGCAGAAGAGCAACCTAGGAGAAACCTGCCCAGAGATCAACTCGCAACAGGATATTGACACAGACTAATTACAGGCCCCACATCATCACAGAGCCATTTGCTGTGGCCGCAGGCACTGCTTTCTGCAGGAAACAAGATCTCGGGAGCGGTTTTCTCCAGAGTCTAAGGTAGTGGAAGAAGCATGAAACTTTCAAATTAGTCCATCGGTGCAGCGGGAGTACGTGTTTCTGTTCTCCTAACAAAAATCCCTCTCAGTACATCACACAAACAGTTAACTAGTTTCCAGAGGCTGCCAGGTAAACGCCATTTCTTCTCCTGGAAACAATTCTCAACTTGCCGGGTGGAGACTGCTCACAAATTCCTGAAGAGAAGAAAAACTTCCACCAGCTAGAAACATCGTCACTCATGCCAGGCAGAGGAACCCACGTCACACAGTTAGCGCCTCTCAGAAATCTTAAAGCAGGAAAAATGCTCTCCCTCAGAGATGGGGCATGAAAAGGCACTCCCGTCTTTCTAGATTTCTCCCTGCAAACTATCCTCTGCCCATTCCCAACCCGGAGCTCCTCTGCAGTGACTCACAGGCAAATCCTGACTTGTTGGACCTTCTGTCCTGTGAACCCACTCTGCGGAGCCCACTGCAGCTCCCTGGTGGGGGAACTCCAGCGAGCGGCTGCAGGTCTGCACTGTACTCACTTTCTAAAGAAAGCCTCGCTGGCCGGGTGCCCAGCTTTCCACTGGGGCAGCAAGCTCTAGTGCACACCTCTTTAAGGCTATTAGAGAGGAGCCGGTTCGCTAGGGACATCGGCACTCTCCATTATAAGAGAATCAGGACATACCTGGCAGGTCCCTTTGGAGAATGTGGAATTCAGCCAGAAAACAGTAACGCAACTTCAGCAGAATTAGGAGAGGAGGCTCTCAGAAACCCCCTGGACCTCCCTCCCCTCCCAACTTGTCTTCAGGCAGTCTCAGCTAGCAGATTTGTCTTTCTCCTCCTTCACACAGCAGGTACTGGATACTCGGGTTTGGGATGTGAGGGCTCAGCCTGAGCGTAGCCATCCTGCAGTATCCTCCACCAGGGTCACAACGAGCCCAAGTTATCAGGTGGCACCAGAATAGCAACCGCTCGCCCTAATGGCTGCCTACCGGCTCTGAGAGGGCAGGCACCTGCCGGCTCACAGCCACTTCCTCAGCAGCAGCCCACATCAGCCAATGCACTTAGCAACCCTTCAAGAAAATATATTCAAGGGTCAAATGGAGGACACTATTATTGCATTACAAGACAAGGAAGGTGCTGTTTTTATAGTCACTCTCTCCCACAAAGGAAAGCATCACAAAAGAGAAAAAAAAAAAAGGCAATCCTGTCCTCAGAGTACAGAATACAGCCATTAGCAAATTAAATACTGCATTAAATTAACACTGTACACCTTTCATTTAGTCAAAAAGATGATCCAAATCATTTAAGCCACTGGCGTCTTCCTAGAGGGGCCAAAATACCCCAGAAGCAGATTCTCCAAAGGGATACAAGCTTTCTGCAGCTGAGGGAAAACGAACTTAATCTTCTTTTTAAGCAAAAGGACAGCTGGTGGATTCCAGAGTGAAAGGCACATACCTCAAGGGAACTGCTGAAGAGCTGCAATTCCTTCAACCAGGCACGTCCTATGACTGGAGGTTTCCTGCACACAACCTCCAAGAGAAGTGCTACCCGAGAAGGTGTGGTTTTTGCTTCTCCCCACCAATGACAAAAGCAAATCAAACTCCACCAGGAAGTGAAAATCCCATGAGGGTGTTGGGCTCCTCCAGCCCTGCAGAGGGGACCCAAACCATTTTTCCACCCTCCACCCCCAGCCCTCACTGCAGGACAGGCAGATGTAACCATCTCACCACAAAATGCACCTCCTTGGCTCAGCACTCTGCTGAACGAACCATCGGACAGGAATCCGCTGCTTTTTACTAACGGCACAGAAGCGAGTTTGTCTAGATTTACTGGCTTACTTTCAGAAGTCTGCAGCAGAAGAGGGGTCTGGAAATACCAGGAGCACTCTGCCCCCAGGCTGTGAAGGAGTTAAGGAGAAGACATTACAGTTTAATGATTAACTTCCCCCATACCCTCCCCCTTCCTGACTTGAGCAAACAAGGCACAGAAGAGGAACGGGAAGCGGAGGGAGGAGAAAAGGCTGGAGAGGAATCACCGGGTTACTCAAACTGCACTTCAGCTTCACAACCGGTACCGAAGCAGCTGCAGGAAGGCACCACCCCACCCGGCGGGATAGAAAAGGAGCAAGCCAGGAGCAGGATGGGTGCTCATACACTGGTTTGCGGGTGGCAAAGGACCTCTCCTTGTGCTTGCTCAACCCCCACGTTCTGCAAACCCGGGGTCCACCCTTCCTCATGCCCCAGTCGCTCCCTCCAAGCTCACAGCCACAACAGAGGGAAGGTCTTCCCCATTCGTGTCCATCCCCCTTGCTGCTTCCAGCCACACAAACCGTTCTCCAATCCCATCCCATCAACAACCACCGTTCTCTGAAGTTTTTTTGCCGGACTGGGAAGTTGCGCCTGTTCAAAGGGTCCAACAACGGCGGCAGAACTTCCCCGAGGAGGGCAGGGCAAGAGCGGTGGTGGCACAGTGCCTGCTCCGACCACCCCACCTTGCGGGGCTTCACCCTGCGAGAGGGAAGCGACTCCACAACCCATAGGCTGCAAATCGCTCCCTTGGAGGTCAACCTAAGGAATTCTGCAGTCCAGACACCGACTCCACGCAATTATTCAAAACCCAACCGAAGGGATTAACGTTCTGTTCTCCATGCAGCACCTCATCCCAAGAGGTCCCAAAGCACTGTGCATTCCTTTAGGGTTTGTGCAACTTTTTAACAGTACCAGAAGACAGTAAGAGATGGGGGAGAAGGAGGAAGATTTATTAATGGAAAAAAGATGCATCGCTCCAGCTCTCTTTTGCCAAAAGGACCAGACTGCTGTAACCTGATGAACTGTAACAGAGATGCTGCGCCTTGCGCAGCACTGCACCTCACGTTACAGGATCGAGTTCGCTACAGTGACACTGCTTAAATAGAACATTAAATACTTAAATAAAAGTATTAGAGGTTTGATCGATTTATTGGGTAATGAAGTGTTCCTTCCCAAGGGGACTCCTCAGGGACAGTGCTGCAGGAGGTGTAAATCAACCCGCTAGTCCCTCCCAGCCCCCGAGCAGCAGCTGACTGGGTCACCCCCACGCACCGACACAGACCAGCTCACACAACCCCCAGCCATCAGAGGGCACCACCGCCTCCTTCCATGGACAGACAGACGAAACCCGACAGCAATGGCTAACCTGGCAAAAACTTCACCTCACCCGTTCACCCCCGCGGAGTCGGGAACCTGTCCCTATTTTCGGCAGGCAGACGCCTTCTGTCGGTGCCACGTGTGCTGCACCTCCCCACGGAGACGTGCTCCTTCGCACCGGCACACGCTGCAGCATCTCGGGGGCTATGGCCCCGCACTCAAAACCACCACACACACCGGCCTCGCCACGGCTTTACTGCTGCCCCAACTGCTCTCTAAAATACTACAGACATAGCTCTAGGAGGCAGAATCTCCCACGGTTAAAAGATCGTTTACCTCGAGAGGTAGCAATTTCGTAGCAATACAGACAAGGGTTATACTACATCTTCGAGCCATCGCTCCACCTCAACATCACCCCTCTTCCACTCTCACCCCTACAAGAAGCTACTAACACAACCCACAGACAAAATGTCAACTCAGGCACATGGATGGAGTGGAATCACACAGTCCAGCTTCCAAAGACTCAGTGGGGCTGAGCCTCACTCAGCCAACCCACAGGCATACAGAAATTTGTATTTTCCACTCTAACAGCACGCTGCTCAATGGGGTGTGGAAGAGTGAGGGATACTTGCTAAAACACCACCACCAATCCAGACGGTCCTGCTTGTCATCACCATGCTGGTGCCGTCGCAGAGGTGATAAAACCCTAAGTCGCTGTCTGGTGCAGCACAGCGCAGCTCAACATGTGCACACCTGGGTACTCCACGGGCTCAGGTAACTTGGCCAAGCACCGGGTAAAGCTGCATGCAAACACGAGACAGAGGCACAGAAGGACAGAATCCTCCTCCCTCCACTGGGCAACCCAAAAATGACACGCTCAATTGAAATCACATTGAGGCCAGAGGGCTACTCAAACCACATCCTCCCCAGTATGGGAGGACATTCATGTTCACAGTCAAGTCATTTTTCTACACAGCTTTTCCTGTGGAGAAGGGACAGTTAAAGAATGATATCACATTTGATACTTTTACTGCTATAAAGTATTCCAAGACACCTGAAGGTCCAGTTCCACTAGTTTGCCCCTCTCTCTCTTCCCTTCCTTTTGCCAAAAAGCATTACTAACTATAAGGTCCTTGGGATTCTGGTCTTCAAATCCCACACACAGCTCTGCATATACATTAGATACGTGTAAGTGGCCCAAGGTAGTTCCCAGCATCTGCCAAATCTCTGCTAGTCATTTAGACAGCGTGGGACAAGAACTCTCAAGCTGATGTCCAATGCATTCAACTGCTTAGAAAAAATATCCCTTTTACCAAGAGCAGGACAACACCTTAGGGTAAGGCCCATTTACCAGTTCAAGCTGCACTGAAAAGAATAATCCTCTCCCAAGTTATACACGGCACATTCCTGCACTATCTCTC